CAGAAACAATACTGTACTACATCGATGTTTCCTGTCGGCTCAATTTTTGAGTGGACTTTGCTGTTCCGATTCGCATGAACTGTATACGAGTGGAGCGACTGAGCGGAGCGCACACGCATAGAGCGGGATTATACACAGAGTGTCACGCCACGTGAAAGTGAAACCTGAGCGGTTAAATACTTTTCGGCAGCCGGAATTTCGGTGCATCTCTAATTATTGGCGACATCAGAAATGGATATTATATCATAGATGCTTTTTTGAACATTTTAGCTATTTAAAAATGTTAAAAATATATTTTTTTACACGGCACCCCTGCTCTCGACAGGCGGCACCCCGGTTGGGAAACACTGCCAATATCTGACATCATTGCGAACGGGCGAGTTTTGCATTTCAACTTTCTTAACTTTATATTCTGAAGAAATATTTTCCAAATCACACAAGGTCCCCAGATAATACTAATCCCGTGCGAATAGGGCTTTCGTTATTGTTATTATTATTAATATTTTATATGTAGTATGCCTTCTCAATGTACCAAAGTGATCATTTCCGATTTTTTCATTCGATAATAAATCGATAATAAATCATAAATCGTTCTTGACTGTCAGCGCTGCGCGATAGGAATCAGCTCACGTGTGTTCTGCGCTTCCGTCAAACGATTCCGAATCCGAACAGAACCGATGCGCAGCGCGGGACTCGATGAAAGCGATGAAGCGGCCAGAAGCAGCAGTGAAATATAGCAACATCACTGACCTGTTCAGGGCTTCAAGTGCAGGTCAGCTTCACCTGTAAATATGCTAGATAGTTTTGTTTTATTAACGTAGTTGAGTATTAAACTGCTCTGTTAGGCTATCAGTAGCACCCCATTATTATCATCATTCAGAATACTGTGCTAAAGGACATCAATATCGATTGTAAAGTTACATTAATAAATTTTATCGATTGTAAAGTTACATTAAATTTTTTTAGCAGAGACAGATATTCACATTGATTTATTGAACAGGGAGGGAGGGAGCTAGAGCAGACAGCAACACAAAAATAATGAGTAAACAGCCTAATAATTAAATAGTGTGTTCAGTATTAGAATGTTTCAACAAATATATTGTACTAATTTTGACATTTAGGCACTTTAGAAATTGCGTTTTAATACACTACCTGTCAAAAGGTTTTGATCAGTAAGATTTTTTATGTTTTTTAAAGAAGTTTCTTCTGCTCACCAAGCCTTCATTTATTTGATACAAAATACAACAAAAACAGTAATATTGTGAAATATTTTTTATTAAAATGTAATTTATTCCTGTGATTTCAAAGCTAAATTTTTAACATCATTACTCCAGTCAAATGATCCTTTAGAAATCATTCTAATATTCTGGTTTGCAGCTCAAAAACATTCATTATTATTATGTTGAAAACAGCGAGTAGATTTTTTTTATGGATAGATTGCTGCTCATATTATTATTATTATTATTATTATTATGTTGAAAACAGATTAGATTTTTTTCAGGTTTCTTTGATGAATAGAAAGTTCAGAAAAACAGCATTTATCTGAAATATACATCTTTTGTAAATTTATAAATGTCTTTATCATCACTTCAATTATCAATTTAAAGCATCCTTGCTAAATAAAAGTAATAACTCCAAGCTTTTTGTATAGTCCGTGGATAATGTAACAAAAGCTTTTTATTTCAGATAAATGCTGATCTTTGGATCTTTATATTCATCAAAAAATCCTGATGTACTGTTTTAAATTTTGATAATAATAATAATAATAATAATAACAACAACAAACATGTTTCTTGAGCAGCAAATCAGAATATTAGAATGATTACTGAAGGATCACGTGACACTGAAATCTACAATAATGATGCTGAAAATTCAGCTTTTTGATCACAGGAATAAATTAGATTTTAAATATATCTTCCATTTTTTTATAGTAAAAATATTTCACAATATTACTGCTCTTGCTGTACTTTGTATCAAATAAATTCAGGCTTGGTGAGCAGAAGAGACTTCTTTAAAAAACATGAAAAATCTTACTGTTCAAAAACTTTTGACTGGTAGTGTATATTTGTATGAAATATAGGTTTATTAAATCTAGGGTATTTAAGTAATTTTAAGATAAATAACATTCTTTGCTAACAAATTGAAATGAGGTGAATGTTTTCAACAAGGTGGACACAGTTCTGTTCATAACAGTAGACCTGCTGGTGAAGAAGTGACACGTAGAAAAAAACAGACCAAGGATTTAGACCTTTTTTATGTGATGACCATACAAATAATAGGGTTGTCTGGTTTCAGAAATTGTTGTGGATGTAAAGGCTATATACAGGAAATAAGGGGCCAAAATTGCACCTTTTGGGGTACAACAGCTTGTCACTGGAACAGGACCCTTAAAAGGACATATTTGTTCCTTTTTTACAAATGATTACCTTAAGGGTACCACGGTGTCAAGCTGTTGTACCCCAAAAGGTACAATTTTGGCCCCTTTTTTTCTCTGTGAGATTTCCCAGCCTGAAATTGCGTCCCAGTCCGACCCTGCACCTAAAGTGTAGGCTACTAGGCTACATATTACATATTAGTACAAGGTACAAAGGTGTTCCTTCTGTACCTTTTTTCTGAGAGTGTGACAAAACATTGTGTATTGTGTAGCTATGCCATATCCACACTATATAGAGAACAAATGTGAAATTTGAAAATTTGAAGATTTTTGGAAGATATCACTGAACATTTAACCATATCAAAAGTAAATTTCATACCAAGTTTTCATTAAAAAATTTTTTTTAGATGAAACACATCTGATAGCCTAGTTTTAATCTGTAATTAGTTATTTAGCAGTTTATACAGTGTATTAATGGAACAAAACCGCATATTTGTACTAGACATGTTTGAAATTAATGTGGGAAAATAAATAAATAAATACTTTGAACCCCTAACTGGATTTACACAAACTGAGAAAGCCAAAAAGTGTTAGGCTGTTCCCCATATATACTCTCCCCCTATATTAATGGCTTATAATTAACTGTTTATTTCTGTTTCATTTTTTCGGTGTTGATACAGATATATTGCCAGTGTCGGTGATAGAGGGAGATTCAGTCACTCTATACACTGATATTGAAACCATCCAACAAGAAGAGATTATATGGTATTTTAATGATATTCCCATTGCTGACATCACTGGAGATCAGAGTAAGAACTGTACAGATGTTCAGTGTAATAATGGTGCAGAGAGATTCAGAGGCAGACTGAAGCTGGATCATCAGACTGGATCTCTGACCATCACAAACACCAACACCACAGACTCTGGACTCTATACACTACAGATCAACAGCAGCAGCGAGAGTCTTGTTCAGCTCTTCAGTGTTTCTGTCTATTGTGAGTCATTATGTTCCTTATCTGCTCCACAGTTCTCTCATGTTGTGTAGTTTGTTTGTTGTTATCGGCAAAAGATCCTCCAGCAGCTGTTGGTTTGTGTTTCAGATGCTCCTGAACAAGATCAAATGAAGAGAAAGTCAGTGAATGAGGGGGAATCTGTCACTTTAGATCCTGGTGAAGTTAAAAACCTGAATTATTTGATGAAATGGTATTTTAATGACACTCTCATCGCTGAAATCACAGGAGATCCCAATAAAACCTGTACAGATGGTCAGTGTGAAGATCCTGATGGAAGATTCAGAGACAGACTGGAGGTTAATCAGACTGGATCTCTGACCGTCAGAAACACCACAATCACAGACTCTGGGCTTTATAAACTACAGATCAACAGCAGCAACAGAATCAGTATCATCAAGATATTCAGTGTTATTGTCACTGGTGAGTATCATTAGTCATTCCATGCACATTCCTTTGCAGTTTTAGAAAACCGTTTGAAATATGTAAATCAACCCAGTGAATGATTTCATTGTGGGCTGTTAGAAAGAGTGAGCTTTGGTTCAATGTTAAAATATAACTGAGATCATCTCAGTCACCTTCACGTGCTTATCACATTGATATTTGTTAGTAATGACAGAAATGCATATTATTAGTTAGTTGTCCTGTAAACGCTGCTGTCTCTTGTTGCGGTTTTACCTGCTGTTCATCAAAAATCCACCAGATTTATGAAATAAATCAATATCATACTGGTGACCTAGGTAGAAAAGTGTAAATATCAGTCAAAGCTATTGGTAAAGTTGATTATTAGTCAATCTCTAGAAGTAATGCTTGTCTTTCTTTAGCTGTTCCAGATTCAAGAGTGTCTTCAGCTGCTAAAGAAGGAACATATGCTGTTGTTGTTGTTGTTCTGCTGTCTACAGCTGCTGCAGCAGCTGCTGCTGTGATTTACTATCGCTACAGGAAATCTACACAAGCAGGACGAAATGGCAAGCATTTCATACAGCTAATTTGACAAGATTAGATTTGTTCCAATTAACCTAATTATTGTGTGTCTAATTTAATTTGTTGTTGTTGAAACAGGCATAATTAGGCTGCACAGTTACAATGAGGTGAGATACTATATGTGCAGTCTTTCTTTTTGCAAAAAAAACAACAACTGAATTTTCATATTGATTTCTGTGAGATCTGCAAATCTCACAATTATAAGTCTGCCTGAGATTTCAGTGTGTATGTAGTTTCATTCAGAAATTATTACATAGAAACAGCAATTAAAAACATACTGTTAAAAGAATATGGTGGAATTGTTGTACCCCAAAAGGTACAATTTTGGCCCCTTTTTTTCTCTGTGAGATTTCCCAGCCTGAAATTGCGTCCCAGTCCGACCCTGCACCTAAAGTGTAGGCTACTAGGCTACATATTAGTACTACCGACAAGGTACAAAGGTGTTCCTTCTGTACCTTTTTTCTGAGAGTGTGACAAAACATTGTGTAGGTAATAACTACGCCATATCCACACTATATAGAGAACAAATGTGAAATTTGAAAATTTGAAGATTTTTGGAAGATATCACTGAACATTTAACCATATCAAAAGTAAATTTCATACCAAGTTTTCATTAAAAAATTTTTTTTAGATGAAACACATCTGATAGCCTAGTTTTAATCTGTAATTAGTTATTTAGCAGTTTATACAGTGTATTAATGGAACAAAACCGCATATTTGTACTAGACATGTTTGAAATTAATGTGGGAAAATAAATAAATAAATACTTTGAACCCCTAACTGGATTTACACAAACTGAGAAAGCCAAAAAGTGTTAGGCTGTTCCCCATATATACTCTCCCCCTATATTAATGGCTTATAATTAACTGTTTATTTCTGTTTCATTTTTTCGGTGTTGATACAGATATATTGCCAGTGTCGGTGATAGAGGGAGATTCAGTCACTCTATACACTGATATTGAAACAATCCAACAAGAAGAGATTATATGGTATTTTAATGATATTCCCATTGCTGACATCACTGGAGATCAGAGTATGAACTGTACAGATGTTCAGTGTAATAATGGTGCAGAGAGATTCAGAGGCAGACTGAAGCTGGATCATCAGACTGGATCTCTGACCATCACAAACACCAACACCACAGACTCTGGACTCTATACACTACAGATCAACAGCAGCAGCGAGAGTCTTGTTCAGCTCTTCAGTGTTTCTGTCTATTGTGAGTCATTATGTTCCTTATCTGCTCCACAGTTCTCTCATGTTGTGTAGTTTGTTTTTATCGGCAAAAGATCCTCCAGCAGCTGTTGGTTTGTGTTTCAGATGCTCCTGAACAAGATCAAATGAAGAGAAAGTCAGTGAATGAGGGGGAATCTGTCACTTTAGATCCTGGTGAAGTTAAAAACCTGAATTATTTGATGAAATGGTATTTTAATGACACTCTCATCGCTGAAATCACAGGAGATCCCAATAAAACCTGTACAGATGGTCAGTGTGAAGATCCTGATGGAAGATTCAGAGACAGACTGGAGGTTAATCAGACTGGATCTCTGACCGTCAGAAACACCACAATCACAGACTCTGGGCTTTATAAACTACAGATCAACAGCAGCAACAGAATCAGTATCATCAAGATATTCAGTGTTATTGTCACTGGTGAGTATCATTAGTCATTCCATGCACATTCCTTTGCAGTTTTAGAAAACCGTTTGAAATATGTAAATCAACCCAGTGAATGATTTCATTGTGGGCTGTTAGAAAGAGTGAGCTTTGGTTCAATGTTAAAATATAACTGAGATCATCTCAGTCACCTTCACGTGCTTATCACATTGATATTTGTTAGTAATGACAGAAATGCATATTATTAGTTAGTTGTCCTGTAAACGCTGCTGTCTCTTGTTGCGGTTTTACCTGCTGTTCATCAAAAATCCACCAGATTTATGAAATAAATCAATATCATACTGGTGACCTAGGTAGAAAAGTGTAAATATCAGTCAAAGCTATTGGTAAAGTTGATTATTAGTCAATCTCTAGAAGTAATGCTTGTCTTTCTTTAGCTGTTCCAGATTCAAGAGTGTCTTCAGCTGCTAAAGAAGGAACATATGCTGTTGTTGTTGTTGTTCTGCTGTCTACAGCTGCTGCAGCAGCTGCTGCTGTGATTTACTATCGCTACAGGAAATCTACACAAGCAGGACGAAATGGCAAGCATTTCATACAGCTAATTTGACAAGATTAGATTTGTTCCAATTAACCTAATTATTGTGTGTCTAATTTAATTTGTTGTTGTTGAAACAGGCATAATTAGGCTGCACAGTTACAATGAGGTGAGATACTATATGTGCAGTCTTTCTTTTTGCAAAAAAAACAACAACTGAATTTTCATATTGATTTCTGTGAGATCTGCAAATCTCACAATTATAAGTCTGCCTGAGATTTCAGTGTGTATGTAGTTTCATTCAGAAATTATTACATAGAAACAGCAATTAAAAACATACTGTTAAAAGAATATGGTGGAATTCTCTTTTAAATGTATATGTCATATCATGTTATTGTATTAGTAAACAAAAATATTATGACGTTTTTGGATCTCTAGATTAATTTATGTGATCAGCCATGATTAGAAGATTTAGGCAATCAGACTATTGCATTAATTTCCAATGGATTCAACATTTTGTAAATATTATGAAATGCACTTGTTTCTTATTTCATAAAAAGTTTGTTTTATCAGCAAGCAAGTCATGGTTAAACATAAAAGGCTTCACCATATGATGAGGCACAACAAAAAAAGGAGCACCAAGACATTTACTAAAATATGTATTAATAAAATACATAAATATTTGTTGTTGGACTTCAAATTATTTCCCTGAAGAACATTAACTTGTAATGAGATACATTTACAGAAAAAAAAATATTTACAGTAACATGTTATTGTGTTCAGAAGACTGAATGTCCATTCTACCTCTAGCCAGATTACATTTTTGTTTTTGTTTCTATTATCTGTTTATAATCTATAATTTGTGATTTTACCTGCTATTTTCACTATGTTGATTTGAATCATCAATTCTGATAATTTGTTTTCTTACAGGAGAATGGTGTAAAACACTCAACTCCCTTATCAGAATGGGTTTTAACTGATGACTGCTGATAATGGGACATCACATAGCATTAATTATTATTTGGGTAACTTAGATGGGAAATGAAAGAGAGGAGTGGAAAAAGATAAGCTTAAATTGTCATCACACTCACAGAGAGGTGGTTCTACTCGGTACCAATTCTGATGTTTGCTGGTTTGTACTAAATGTTTTATAGTTGAAAAGTGTAAAAATGCATTATTCCGTCTATTTTGTTTCAACATATGTGTTGCAAATTGGAAAGTATTATACTTTAAGCATTTGGAATGCTACTCTTTCTTTTTTTTTTTACTGCCAAGTTTGTGCATTCACTTTCTTTGTTCAGTTCCTGTTGCCTTAAGGTAAAGCTCACTACTTTATTACTTCACATTAACTGTCCATTATATATATTTCAATTCTAAGTTGTGTTGGGTAAGTGCTTGTTAAATGAATCAATATAAATATAGATGTTTGTGTTGTCAGTTTTAGTCTCCTTCAGTTATGTTCACGAAACATGTTTGGCTGTGTTGTATTTGTTCAGAGTGCTTGAAATGTATATATTATTACGTATACATATATATATATATATATCAAAAGTAAATTTCATACTAAGTTTTCATTAAACATTTTTTTTTAGATGAAACACATCTGATAGCCTAGTTTTAATCTGTAATTAGTTATTTAGCAGTTTATACAGTGTATTAATGGAACAAAACCGCATATTTGTACTAGACATGTTTGAAATTAATGTGGGAAAATAAATAAATAAATACTTTGAACCCCTAACTGGATTTACACAAACTGAGAAAGCCAAAAAGTGTTAGGCTGTTCCCCATATATACTCTCCCCCTATATTAATGGCTTATAATTAACTGTTTATTTCTGTTTCATTTTTTCGGTGTTGATACAGATATATTGCCAGTGTCGGTGATAGAGGGAGATTCAGTCACTCTATACACTGATATTGAAACCATCCAACAAGAAGAGATTATATGGTATTTTAATGATATTCCCATTGCTGACATCACTGGAGATCAGAGTAAGAACTGTACAGATGTTCAGTGTAATAATGGTGCAGAGAGATTCAGAGGCAGACTGAAGCTGGATCATCAGACTGGATCTCTGACCATCACAAACATCAACACCACAGACTCTGGACTCTATACACTACAGATCAACAGCAGCAGCGAGAGTCTTGTTCAGCTCTTCAGTGTTTCTGTCTATTGTGAGTCATTATGTTCCTTATCTGCTCCACAGTTCTCTCATGTTGTGTAGTTTGTTTTTATCGGCAAAAGATCCTCCAGCAGCTGTTGGTTTGTGTTTCAGATGCTCCTGAACAAGATAAAATGAAGACAAAATCAGTGAAGGAGGGAGAATCTGTTACTTTAGATCCTGGTGTAGTGAAAACCACAAATTATTTGATGAAATGGCTTTTTAACGGCATTCGCATCACTGAAATCAATGGAGATATTAGTTTTAACTGTACAGATGTTCAGTGTAATAATGGTGCAGAGAGATTCAGAGGCAGACTGCGGCTGGATCATCAGACTGGATCTCTGACCATCACAAACACCAGAACCACAGACTCTGGACTTTATAAACTGCAGATCAGCAGCAGCAGATTCACCATCATAAAGAGCTTCATCGTTAATGTCACTGGTGAGTATCATTTAGTGATGAAACTCACAAAATATATTCATATTTGCTCTCGTAGGTGTCTGATCCACTATGTGAAGTGAAAACTGTCTGTCTTGCACTTATTTCACTACTCTCAATCTTTATGATCTGTAGAAAAGGACATTTTCACAGCACTTTCCTGTTGTATAATTTTATTTGGTCTATAGTAATGCTTATTTCTTCAGGTTATGCGGATGCAGAGAAAGTGTCAGTCATGGAGGGAGATTCAGTCAGTCTACACACTGATGTTGAAACAATCCAACAAGAAGAGATTAGATGGTATTTTAATGAGATTCACATAGCTGAAATCACTGGAGATTCCAATGAGACTTGTACAGATGTTAAGTGTAAAGATGGCAAGGAGAGATTCAGAGACAGACTGAAGGTGAATTATATGACTGGATCTCTGACCATCACAAACATCAGAACCACAGACTCTGGACTTTTTAAACTACAGAACAACAGCAGCAGCGAGAGTCTTGTACAGCTCTTCAGTGTTTCTGTCTATTGTGAGTCATTATGTTCCTTATCTGCTCCACAGTTCTCTCATGTTGTGTAGTTTGTTTTTATCGGCAAAAGATCCTCCAGCAGCTGTTGGTTTGTGTTTCAGATGCTCCTGAACAAGATAAAATGAAGACAAAATCAGTGAAGGAGGGAGAATCTGTTACTTTAGATCCTGGTGTAGTGAAAACCACAAATTATTTGATGAAATGGCTTTTTAACGGCATTCGCATCACTGAAATCAATGGAGATATTAGTTTTAACTGTACAGATGTTCAGTGTAATAATGGTGCAGAGAGATTCAGAGGCAGACTGCGGCTGGATCATCAGACTGGATCTCTGACCATCACAAACACCAGAACCACAGACTCTGGACTCTATACACTACAGATCAACAGCAGCAGCGAGAGTCTTGTACAGCTCTTCAGTGTTTCTGTCTATTGTGAGTCATTATGTTCCTTATCTGCTCCACAGTTCTCTCATGTTGTGTAGTTTGTTTTTATCGGCAAAAGATCCTCCAGCAGCTGTTGGTTTGTGTTTCAGATGCTCCTGAACAAGATAAAATGAAGACAAAATCAGTGAAGGAGGGAGAATCTGTTACTTTAGATCCTGGTGTAGTGAAAACCACAAATTATTTGATGAAATGGCTTTTTAACGGCATTCGCATCACTGAAATCAATGGAGATATTAGTTTTAACTGTACAGATGTTCAGTGTAATAATGGTGCAGAGAGATTCAGAGGCAGACTGCGGCTGGATCATCAGACTGGATCTCTGACCATCAGAGACATCAGAACCACAGACTCTGGACTTTATAATAATCAAGTCATCAGCGGCAGCAGCCTCAGTCACAAGATGTTCAGTGTTACTGTCTGTGGTGAGCCGTTATGTTTTCTATAGCACGTGTTGAGCATTTAAATCAGATCATTTTGTTCACTGGTTGTACAGTTATTTAAATTGCAGAGGATTTTTATAAAAAAACAAACAAAAAAAAACATAGTATGCAAAATATGTTCATAAGCATAAAATGTGGTCAAATGTGCTTTTTAGAATGAAAGTCCAGAAATACCAGAAAATTACTTTTATATCCACAGTTCTTTCATGCTGTGGAGTTTGTTTGCTATTGATTTTAGTTTCACCTGTTGGTTTGTGTTTCAGATGTTCCTGCTGCTGAACGAGATGAAATAAAGAGAAAGTCAGTGAAGGAGGGAGAATCTTGTCACTTTATACACTGGAGAAATTAAAAACCCAAATGATTTAATGACGTGGTATTTTAATGACACTCGCATTGCCGAAATCATTGGCGAACCCAGTAAGATCTGTACAGATGATCAGTGTAAAGAGAGATTCAGAGACAGACTGAAGCTGGATCATCAGACTGGATCTCTGACCATAATGAACATCAACACCACAGACTCTGGACTCTATAAACTACAGATCAGCAGCAGCAGAATCAGCATCACAAAGAGCTTCAATGTCACTGTACCTAGTGAGTATCATTTAGTTTGTTATTTCCTTCTCCCTTGAGCAGTTTTAGAAAACAGGGCCCGTATTCACAAAACATTTTATCTTACCAATAAGAGTTCTCCTAAATAGCAGTAAAAGTTTTTTGCTGAGAGTTTTCTCTTATTAAAAGGGTCATATGCGATTTCTATTTTTCCTTTTCTTTAGTGTGTTATGTAGCTATTTGTGCATGTATAAGATCTGCAGAGTTACAAAGATCAAAGTCTCCCACAAAAGGATTTATCTAAAAGAGAAGGCTGATCTAGACCGGCATAAAACGCCTCATTCAAACACGCCCCCACATCTCTACGTCATGATGTGGAAATATTTGCGTAATGTTCAAGCAAAGAATGAAGGCGTGGTTTCAGGAACAGCAGTACACGGCTTGTGTACTGAAAATACATACGAGCATCATCACTGTGTCTGTCACGCAACTCTGTTCCGCTTTCGGGCTTGAACTGATGGTAAAACTGAGGACATCATATACTGTCTTTACATTTATGCTGAAAGCTGAAGCTCGCAATTATGGAAAGGGGCGTTACATTTCTGACGCGTGCTTGTGGTGTTCGGCCAAATTCACAAAGCTGCTGAGAAAAACTTTTACTAAAGAATAGAGAGAAGTCTTAAAGGGGTCATATGTTGCTAAAAAGAACATTATTTTGTGTATTTGGTGTAATAAAATGTGTTTATGCGGTTTAAGGTTCAAAAAACACATTATTTTCCACATACTGTACATT